AAAAAAAAAAAAAAAAGATTTACTGAAACTCTGATCTGATTATTAATGATCTGTCTATCAATTCTTTTTGTTTGATGTGTTAAATTAAATTTAATTAGAAAAAAATAAAAAGTATTTTAGTTCAGTAAAAATCTTCCTTTTGCATTTTGGGTCGATGGGTCGTAACATTCTCCATTAGAATCTTCCGTGCATCCCCTTGACTGATGATACAACGAAGGTTTTGTTCCTTTGATGAAATAAGTAAAGAGTTCTTGTCAAGATCAGAACCTTCCATTTGAGTGAAGCCGCTGTCGTGTTGTTGATCCGTAATAACACGTGTCCTGTTCGGATTGAATATTCCTCACATTAAGAGCTTACATGTTCGGAATAATCTGGAAAATGCGTGATGCGTAAATAATCGTGCCACGTACTAAAAAAACCGTTGGCTAGACTAAAGTGGAAAAAATTCTTCAAGTCGATGTACGGGATTAGTAGCTAATAATAGTTTATCTTTTCCGGTCATTACGTTTTTGAAAACATATATGAGCGAATCGTTGTACGTCAATGCATCTATTTCGTTGATTTTCTTCACATTTAAGTGGAGAATTTGTTTGTTTAAATGTACGAGATCAGTGAAATCATTTTGATGTTACCGTCGATAATCTGTTTGAATTCTCATTCATTTGTGTCGCGAGGACTATTTTCCTTCTGCTGGAGAAAATGTACTTCTTTTTTATATTTTTGTAACGTCTTCGAACACGCTTTGAAGTATATTCATTTTTGTAAATTACAAAAACGTAAGAAGTACATTGTATTGATCTTTTCTCCCACATTTGCCCATATATTTCTAGCTGCAGGTGGACCTCATTTACATCACGGTATAGTTTGTACTCTACTTGGAAACTCGACTAGAGGATACTTGCAAGAAATCGAACTACATCTTTTCGTACTTTGATAAAATTCGATATGATAATTTACAGGTAAAACTTCACGAGTGGATGCTAAAGATACTGCAAGAGGGTAGAATGATCACCGTGTCTCAGATTCTTACCTATTTGAAGGTTTGTGCGTTAATTAATTTTCGAGCAACCAGTTTTTCTCCAAATTTAACCACTTGAAATTATTAATGTTTCACAATATTTTGGTGGGATACATGCAAAATCTTGTTTGGAAAATAAGTATAACTTTCTGATATAGTTGATATTTTCCGGTGTTGTGTTTAATATGGAAGGGGGAGCTGAACGATGCGGGCCCCACAGGACAAGGGGACAGCGGAGGATCACAAGAGAACACGATGGGATCTGACATGGCACCATCCTCGTCATCTGCTGCTCATGCCGGTCAGAACCAGGACAGCTGTCCACATGATCATATGCAAATGGATTTCACTTCTCATGGGAACTAAAACTAGCTTGGTTCGTTTCGTGTCCTTTCTTCGATCGTCATCTATAAATAATATGTGGCGTTGTGTTGTTTGTGTTGAACTTGTACTGTATGTGCTGAAAAACAATTGACAGTTTCACCTTTATCAGGTGTAATTTTATAAAGACCTGGACACAACTAATTATGTCTTTTTCTCTTTTCTTTTTTTGTTTGGTTGTTGTGTTCGACATGAGTTTTGTCCTAAGTGTTCTCTGTCATTGCCCCCAAAAGCTAAAACTATAGAAGTATTTTTCTCTGTTATATTAAGTTGATACATTTCTCTATGTATCGTCTCTCAACTTTCGACCAACAAGATTCCCTAGTGCAAATAGAGCTGTAACCGTTTTCATAAAGAAAGAGTGGGAATTGATCATCTGGAGGACTTTTGCATTTGCACAGAAATGTGTTATATACCTTTGAGGTAACAATTAACAAAGTAAAAACAAAATTTTACCGACCTCTTATTGCCGTAAACAGAACTGACTGGCCAACTAGCACGTTTGTCATGTTGAGAACCCGATTATTTGTAAATGAAGCTTTTGGACTCCTTCACATTTAACGGTAAACAAACTCCAGATACTTATTTCTTGTTGAATCCAAACAGAGATTTGATAGCGTTGATCGCGTTCTCATTGATAAATGATTCGTCAAATTTCTTCAAAAGAGGATCGAAATCTTGCGACTTTCTGATGTTTTCGAGGTCTGGGTCCGTCCGGACTCTCTGCAAGTCAGAAAAAGGCCAGTGAAGTGGAAAAAGACGACAAAAAATTACAACAAAAAGTGTGTCCTTTTCAGCTTCTTTAATGTTCATTAAAAGAAAAACTTGTCGGCTATAACCTTAAAATCTTCGAATCCTGCTTCCATAGCATCCTCGAGAGCCGATAGCCCAGCTTGTATCTGCAAGAAAATCATATGAAATTAAAGAGCTTCAGGCACGCCTAATAACTGCAATAGTCAATCAATCATCACTCTTAGCTACCGATAGACTACAAAAGAACTATTCCTGAGCAATGATTACAAACGAATCTTATTACATCCCAAAGCTATAATCGCCCTTTGAAAATATTCAAGCGACCCCTTCAAGTTTGCATTTAATCGACGAATACTAAACTCTGAAGTTGCAAGTTTGTTAAAATGAAGGTAGAAACTTGTTTAATCAACAAATACTAAATTTGTTTAATCAACAAATTTCGACTGCTTATTTGTAATTTTGGAAGATTGGCTGGGTAGTTTCTGTACTTAGGCGGGATAGCAAGGATCGACCGTGGAACTTGTATGAGTTTTACAAAAGGGCCCAGTGAGATGAAGGACACACACGATCAGGTCGAACCGTCGAAGCATAGATGCATTTACTTACCTGATTGAGCTTTGAATAACAACAAGCTACGTTATAACTTGCTACTGCAGCTTCATTTGACTCCGGTTTTGATCCCAAAACCGACTCAAACTTTCCCAAAGCCTCTTCATATTTACCACTCCTATCGTAAAAGTGTTAAAAAAACGACAAAAATGATGGGTAAGACTTCAGATTGTGTTGATGGTTAAGATGAACAGCACGTTTGTTCCTACTTGTAGAGCTTCAACCCTTCGCGAAGGTCTTTCTCTCTCTGTTCCTTTTGCTCCTTTTTCCTCAAGTAATTTTGCATCTAATCAACCAAAGTCCAGACTCAGAGTTGCATACATCAAACATTCACTAGCTCCAAAACACGAGAAAAAAGAAAACCAAAGGCGAATAATAAAACACGACAACAAGAAATTCGGTTCTGTTTAAATAAGGAACTCACTTGGATTTCCCTCACTCTGTTGCTAACAACACCAGAGTTTCTCTCGGCTCTGATGATTTCCTTTTCCGTTAATTCACCCGTATCATCCACTTTTCCTGATAGTTAATGACCTCAAATATATTAAAAGTTCGACAAGCGTGGTCTTCCCAGCCAGGATAAGCATAACAAATCATCAAACTCACCATATCTTTTCTGCATTTTCATGAGCAAGGGCCCAATTCTTTGTCTGATCGTGTACATTGTTCTCCCGTACTCGGCAGCAGGCCATACTTCTTCCCCAAAAACTGCACTGCAGTAATTTTAACTGCTTAAAATCAGATAACAAACCATGCGCACAGACGTGACATCACTTTTTGATCCTTTTTTCCTTCAATTTCTACTACAATAAATCACCACTTTCTCAAAAATATTCGAAGTACAACAACAAAGTAAATTAAAGTCCCTCAAATTCATAAGCATTTTTTTTTAAGGAAACAATAATATACCTGGTGGCCAGCACTCTATCTCCGACAGAGAACATGCCGGTCATGTCGGCAGATCCTCCTGGTGCAATTGCATCAATGTAGGTCCCTCCGTCTCTGCCCTTTGCGAACTTGAGCCCGTACGGCTGCAACAATTCCACCTCGTACTCTTCGTATTTATCCTCTTCCTGAGCCGCCGTGTTGGAGGCTTTGGCAACTAAAACGGATAGTTTGGCATTCGGTCGAGCAATTGGTGGCGTCGGGCGGGGATTTCTGCGGCTGAGGCTGAGCAAACAGCAGGGGAAGGGGAGATGGTTGCGCGAGGGGGATGGCCTCGTCGGCGGGGCTGGGGAAGAACACAGAGCGGAGTAGCTGGTCGAGGCCATGCCGGTGGAAATTGAACTGCTTTAGTGCGTGCTGTGTGTGTGTGTGTGTTTGTGTAAGAGAGAGAAGGCAAAGAGATTGCAGACAGCGAGAGGGATCGTAGGGGAGACTGACTAGTGGCTCTGGTGGACTCTCTTTGGGAGGAGCTTGATTTTGTGGTGCCACGTGGCGCGTCCTGGTACGGAGGTTTTTTGTTCCTCGAGATGGAGGAGTAACTGAATTTGATAAAGAATTTTCATTTGTGCTATTCCATGCCTCTTTTACTTGCACTATGAAAATGCACGTGCTACGCATGTGATAAATTAATTTATGTAATACATATATCATAAATTAACATTTATATTATACATATTATTAGCAGGTAAACTTAAATCTCATTATGCATATTGTTTTAGTGAATAATTTGAACAAAATAATTTTATTAAGATTATATATTTTCACCTAACAAATAATTTTTTTCCACAAAAAACTGACTTTTTGAATATGATGACGTTTTTTTTTTTCATTCAATCATTCTTAAACATATGCATGTTCATTAAATTATTCATTTTTTATTTTTTAATACTATAACAAAAAAAATCTATAGTTAAAAAATATAATATTTAGAAATAGATATGATATTTTCATTGGTGCATTATATATTGTACACTTGTGAAATTAAATATAATTATTTAAAAATTTTAAATACTATTTTTCTTACATTTAAAAACTACATTTTCTGTAATTTTTATTCTATTTTTTATTTCTAACTTACATATTTGTTTAGATAATCTTAACATCTTTATATCAACTGAAAGAATTAAATTATTGAATACATAAAAAATATAATAAAAGATCATAGATAAAACAAATAATAAAGTAAAGTAGATTGAAAAATAATTGATTGAAAAAATGATTGTAACTATTAATATTTATAACTCCCTAACAGTTGTGACAAAATTACATTATTTTTCTTAGAATTAATTATAGCGTATGGCATTTTTGGCAATTCAATTTTTTCAAGAAACAAGTCTCTCTTTTAAGATAGTTATTTGATTGAAAATTAAGTTTTAATCCATTTCAATTATTATAGGGATTTAAAACCCCATACTGAAATAACGTGTTAAATTTATTTGGCTTAATTTCGATTAAACTAAAATATAGGTAGATGGTTTATTACATAAAAGTTATTACTTATAAAAATTTATTATGAATGTATTAACTTGTTACACAAGATATACACTTAAGTGGATTTTTACTAAATTTTGAAGATGACAGTGAACATTCATGACAATTTAGTTGTATTTAATATTAAAAATATATATTATATTGGAGTTGATAATGATGATTTGTAACTCATCTGCCTTCAATTAATTAAAAGATTAATACATTTTTAAAAGACTACAACTACAATTATTTATCATATATCAAATAATCATATCTATGACATTAAGTTGGAACTGCTAAATAATCATATCTATGACATTAAGTTGGAATTGCTAATTTGTACTTGAATGATATAAGGTCTAAATTATAGTTCTGTTTTTTAGAATTTCAAAATAATAAACTCATCATTACGGGTAATTTATTCTATAACTATAAAGATAGATAAGAGTAAATATTTTAAGGCACAGTGATGAAAATAAACCAGATAATTTTAAATAACATGTATTCCAAATTAAAAATAGTATTTATTATTTGGCTTGATACTTATTTTATATATATATATATAATACTAAGTTTTCTAAATTGTGGAAGCATCATACTAACTTTTCTATTTTTTCTCTATTTCACAAGACAAGTATCCACAATAAATAATAAAAATACATCCATGATAAATTAAAAAATAATTATAATGTCACAATACTAAAAAATCAAAAGAAATAATGAAAATGAACAAATATCCAAAAGTTACGTTTCTTTTTCTTGAGGATAATTGGATTTCAAGTTAAATGAATAAATGTATACTCTTGTACTAAATAAATTAATCTTTGTAGATGATGAAGAATATTAGCTAGGATGAGATTAATATAATTTTATATGCATGAAAAATAATTGTATATGATGAAGAGAAATGGAAGAGTTACATATATTTATAAAAAAAAATATCTGTGTAGTTGTAATGTGATTTTAATTTAAAATTATAATATTACGTTTATATATTTCAAACAAAAGTTACATTTCATTTTTCTTAAGCATAATATTGGCCATTCAAATTTGGTTGGAGAGTTACAAATCACCATTATTAGTCTAATTTGAAATTACAAATTATATTTATGTCCTTTAAAGTAAATCTTTTGAGGGAAGTATGGACAATTCAAAATTTTCAAGAAATAACTCATACTTTTAAGGTAGTTATAGATTATAGATAGATTATAGATTATAGATATAGATTATAGATGGATAGGATAGAATAACGGTCCTAAACCGACTTTATATGGTGTTTACTAGCCTAGATCAGAATTGAGATGAATCTTATGTGTCATGTATGTGATAGGTGGGCATAAGCCTTTATCTATAACTGACAAAATAATTCTATCACATTTTAAGGGTGGAATGTTTTTATCCGAACACCTAAAAACCCCATGTATAATGATCATTATGCCTTTTATTGTCGAAATACTTACAAATTTAGTTAAGCTGAGTCATGGGACAAAAGCTGACTCATGGAATTAAATCGTCCTATCTCATCATATCTCATCTCTTCAAGTAAACGAGTCCTTAGAAAATTGATATTAAAATTTTAAAAAAACTTTATTAATTAGTGTCGTTATTTATTTTTTTATATAAATTTAGAATAAATAAAACAGTTTGCTGATAAACAAATATTTCTTGTCTATCTAATCAAATCTTAATATAAGAAAAGAAAATTCAATCAAAATCAACAAATTAAATTAATGTCTTATTCTTCAACATTCTCTCTTTAATGTTAGGTTCTCCTCCAAGAACACCTCATTGGTGATGAGATACGCGTTGTGTTAACTACGGATGAGTGACGGAATATTCGAGTAATCTGTTGCTTGAATGTTTTGATTGTTTATTCGAGTTACTTAAACTATATATATCTTCCCCATGATTAAAAATGCTACGTTACAACATGTATTTATGCATGTTTGTGATTGACTTGAGACCTAGAGGAGATAGTTTATTGCTAGAATTGAGAAATTCATAACGTATTAGACTAAACAGACCGACAGGTTGATAGAATCTTGCGAGGAAACTATAATATTAAGAGTTAGGGGAGTCAATTGTTCATCTTGAGACTGAGAGGAGATAGATGACAATTAATCAACGATTTAGCTTGCTCGAGAGGGGGGTTAGATTACTTCAGTGATTATCCTTATGATTGGTAGAAGTAAATAAGGTTTGAATGAATAAACAATCTTTGTTAGAATAATCCCGAGGAAAATTTAGTTAGAATTTATTTTCTCATTCTTGATTTTATTCAAAACAAGCATTCACTATTACTAGAATTTAACTTACAATTATTCACTAGTTTAGAACTAAATCTCCATTAAAATTTTCATTAGTCTAAATAATATTTAATCGTCTATATTTTGATAGTTAACTATTTTAATGACATTCTATGTGGAATACGACCTTGCTCGCCGCTTGTTACAACTACATCGTAGATTTGCGAGTAGTGAAAATATTTTGCGAACAACAACAAGGAGACTTGAGATCACTAGAGTACCAGGTCGGTGATGAGCTTCGAGGGAGAAGCAATTCAACATGTCAAGCTAGAGTTCTTGGTTAGCCTGATGGAAATACGACTTGGAAGTGAAGAGGTCAACGTAGGACCTAAAAAACAGACTTACTCGGTGGAGATCGGAACGACCCAGTTCATAGAAAATCGAGCTGATAGCACATCTATGCTTAAAGTATCTACCTAATGAGGTAGATTTGTGTGAATACACTAGAATAATGGATAAGTGCGAATATAATTAGGATAAGAAGTGCACGCGGATAAGGACCACTTGGCCAACATTTTGGGCAGTTTGCGCACTTGGGTAGTGTGATCGGACAGCTCGGGCACTTGGATAGCCAGATCGGGCAGATCTTGGGTTGCATGGTAACACCTTTATATACAATCATTTAACTCTACACACTCTACGAACTCTATACGTACACACATTGTTTACATCGTCTTCCTCAAAGACGGAGTTGAGTATCGGAGCTTCTACATTTGGACAACCCCCGACGATATTGTAATTTCACCGGTTTAAGGATGAATTAAGGACGTCGAACCGGACCAAGGTCGTTTTCACTACCATCACTGGTGTTTTTTCAGCTATTGGAAACACTACAAAAAAAAATGTTACATTCCAATAGAAATTTTCCGTTGGATTTCTTTATGTTTTCCGTTGGAATAGCTATTCCAACAGATATTCCTACGTACAAAAATCCGTAGGAAAAACGGCCGTTGGAATAGCTAAAATCCAACGGAAAATCCTATGAAAATAAATTCCAACAGCTATTCCAACGGAAAAAATTCGTTGGAATTCCTCAACTATTGAAACATAGCCAACACTTATTCCAACATAAAATTAAGATTGTTGGAATATTCATTGAAATTTCCAACGGAAGTTTTTGCTGTTGGAATTTTTCGTTGGAATTGAAGTGTTTTCTTGTAGTAAAAGTCTGATCTACTATCGAGAGTTTATGTTGGACTCCTTATGAGAAGAACTTTCTATAAATATATGCTTCATTAAAATCCAATGGTCTGGTCTCCGATGACATTCCAATAAAATTTAATGCCCAGATTGCAGTTGGATGTGAGGGGACTTTCATTTATGAAAAACAAGACATTGTCCCAGCTGTGCCAATATCATTACAAATGTTGAATCATACTCTTTTACATGCTCTCTGATCCAAAACTTCAACTATAGGCTACCTTACTGCCTCAATGTGTGACTGGCTATTAATTAAAGTCAAATAACAAAACATGCTCAAGATGAAGAAAGATAATATTGTATCCTTTAATTTTCTCTTTCGGATCATGATTTAAAGTCCTCACTACAAAGAATCAAAGCCGGCTGATCGGTTGGCACATCGAAAGGAACCTGAAGAGGCTCTAGGGAATCTACTATGTCCCTCATTAGAGGCCTTGCCTTTGGGTTACGATTTAAGCAGTGATAAGCCAGCATGGCTGCTTTCTGGAAGCCCTTGCTCGGATAATCACCTCCGAGTCTTGGATCAACTATGTTGAACATTTTCTTCTTTTCTCTTAGTAAGGGGACTGCCCAATCCGTGAGATTCTGTTCGCGAACTGGCCGTGTTCTGTCTAACGACTTTCTGCCCGTTAAAAGCTCCACAAGCACTACTCCAAAGCTATACACATCACTCCTAGGCGTTAGGTGGCCTACGAAAATCGAGAATGGAAGCAAAAATGTTACAAGAAAGCAAAAAGACATATTGAATTTAGTTATAGGCTTATGGTCTTATTATATAGTTGGGACTAATTAGTGATCGCGAAATAAATACCGGTCATTATGTATTCCGGTGCCGCATAGCCGTACGTTCCCATAATTCGAGTCGAAACATGGGATTTGTCACCCTCCGGTCCATCTTTAGCTAGGCCAAAATCGGACAATTTCGCATTGTAATCCTGTGCAGCAGTAATTCATGAGTCGGGACACGTTTCCCTTTTTCTTTTAACTGTTATAGAACTTAACCGGATTGGTTTTACTTTTTAGAGAGATGATCCCGAACAAACCTGGTCCAGTAATATGTTGGAGGTCTTAAAATCGCGATAAATGACGGGTTTCTGGGCTTCGTGCAGAAAAGCAAGTCCCTTTGCAGCACCAAATGCTATCTTCATTCGAGTCGACCAAGTAAGGGGAAGCAACACCCCTGCACACAATAGTTTTACACATATAGTAACTCTAATGAACTCATGAAGATCTTTACAGTTGAAGAAACAATAGACCATTACATGTATCCGAATCAAAATTCGATCTTGCAAATCTGAGAATAGTAAATTGACATTCGAAAAAAGCTTACTACACATATGTTACTTACTAGAAAATAAATTGTTTTCAACACTACCACGAGGCATGTACTCGTATATCAGGACTCGATGTTCGTCTTCACAACAATATCCAATCAGCTTCACCAGATTCGGGTGCGACAGCTGCCCCAGAAATATTACCTCTGCCTAAAATTAAAGCATAAAATTAAAACCAGATGGTTATCGACTCTGCAATATGTATATATTTTTTTTTACGTATTAAGTTTTTGGTTGCGAAAATTTTACCAGCCATTCCCGATGACCTTGATAGCTGTTATCGACATCGTGAACCTTAACAGCAACAGGTAAATCTTCAGAAATGTATCCTTTGTACACATTTCCAAATCCACCTCCACCGAGCACGTAATCCTGTCTGAAATTTCCGGTGATCGTTTTTAGCTCTTCGAACGCGAAAACCGTTAGCGGGTTCGCCGACGTACAACGACGCAGGTCTTCGACTTCTTCAGGATTCGAGGGCAGTTTCTTGTTGTCTTTCTTGGCTCTCACCGATGGACTGCTTTGGGCTTTTGGTGATTCTACATGAAATCGAACAATTGATAAATAAATCAATACATATCAAAGCCAAACTTGGATTGTTTATCAAATTTGATAACAAGAAAGAAACTTAGAACAAAGTATAGAAAGTCATAATCATTCTTCATCACCTGGCTTTGTATTTGAAAACACTCTGCATATTGTGTTTTCCCAACCGCAACAGCAATTTCCCATTGTAAAACAGTTTGTGGTCTAGGCAGAGTACTGTGATGGGATTATGTTCATGTTTGTATGATTTCTTAATTTCACCTTTTTTTTTTTTAACCAAAAAAAAAGAAAAACTTAATATTTCAAAGACTCAGTAATTAGTATAGTTGTTGGAGACAAAATCGCATTTTTAGTCTTGCTGGTTTAACGCTGTAGAATTTTTAGTCTCAAGATTTCAACTTTTTGTCTTTTGATCTTGTAATTTAGTATTTTTGCTGCAATTTCAGTCATTTGGGACTGAAATTGCAAAACAAAATTTAAAGTTACAGGACTTAAATTGCTAATAAAAAATATATCCGAAAGATTTTTTATCAGCAATTTAAGTCCTGTAATTTTAAGCTTTGTTGCATTTTCGGTCTCAAATGATTGAAATTACATTAAATTTTAAATTATATGATCAAATAGCAAAAATGATCAATCATTTAGATTAAAAACGACACTGAATCGAATCAACAGAACTAAAATTGTAATTTTTTTCAGTTGTTGCATGTGGTTAGTGCGGTAGCCATTTGAATACCCACCAATCCTTTTCCATCTTTTTCTTCCTTCCATTTTGTTTGGCGTGCGCACTGAGAAATTGATTTTTCCCCACTTTTATACATTCTTTACGCCTGCCCAAAATTGCCATCCATGTTATCATTTCTTCTTCCAACCCCATCTGATCCATACATACAATATATAATACATACAACTAGTACAATATTCGTGTATTACACGAGTATTTGCTAATTTATTCTTAAAATATAAAAATAATGAGAAAAAATAGTTGAAAATTTAAATACCTTTTACAAAAATATACTACCTCCTATTCTTTTTAAATGTCATTTTGGCATTATCAACTATTAACAAAATAAATGTCGTTTTTGTTATTTTGTACATATTTTTCTATTATTACCCTCATTTAGTTAATAAATACACTACGTGTTTTCATGTTCACTCTTCACCTTTTTTCAAAACATTTATCTCTATCCTCATTAATGAGGGTTATTATCGGCAAAAAGAATATTCTTAATAACTGTGCAACTTCTCAAAACGACACTTATTTTGAATAGGAGAGAGTATATATATTATTATATATTTAGTATGACACTTTTTATTTGTGCGACTTACCTGTGTTATATTACAATAATTTTTTAACTTACAATATATAACTACATTCCGAAGCACCAGAAACAGCCACGTAGGCTCAGCACATTCGGGAATTATATATAGGGATGATATATTTATATTTATATAAAAAGTCATCCTATTTACTAGAATTACTAAGAAAAAAAGTCAGCTCATAATTAATTGCATACCATATTTAAAGGGATTTTAGATTTTTTTTATCATAAAAATAGGGTAGCATTATATGCCCCTAAAATTATGGGGTTTGTTGAATTCATTTTTAATAAAATCTGCATCCAAATTTACGTGTGGTTTTGAAGTGAAAATTCAAAATTCAAAATGTCTTCACATTTTTGTTACAAAAAAATCGGGTTGCATTCAACAGTTGGACCAATTTAAAAATTCTTCCCTAAATGAATGAATTTATAGATAATTGTTATCTCTACACAATCACATGATTAATTTCAATATAAAAAGAGGCAAATTACAAATTAGTGAATCATATACTAGCTAATTCAATATCTTAACATTAAAGAATAAATCCATAGTATTATATATATCCGTATCTCATATTATTATATCATTAAGAATATATTTTAGTTATATTATCAAATCATAAAAAGATATTAAATCCATATTGTAAAAACAATAATTCATATAATTTTATAAAAATTCTACTACACTATTTAACAGTATTCTATTTTAGTATATAATAAAATAATAATTAAATATTATATGGTGAACATTAATAAGTAAAAATGTTACTTTCTCTTATATCAAAGGATAAATTTATACACTAAAATTAAATTTTTATTAGTATGTATGTTTTAGTGAGATAATATATTAATTGTTTTAGAAGCTAGCCCTAACATGCTCATATTTAATGTTCTGGCTAAAAAAACAATGATGGTTAAAAGATGTGGAAAAAACTTATAACCATATTGGTTTTTAGGCTTAACGTTATTAAAATAGGTAAAAAAATAGATAATAACTCTATTACTTTTTAGACTTAAACGGACAAGACTGTGAAAATAACTCATTTAATATCTCTGTCTCGTGCATCGCGCGGGCTACGTACTAGTAAATATGAATAATTAGAATGAATTTTCTATTTATCTATACCTATATTGAAAAAAATTGATAGAAAAATAATTTGTAGAAAGTTGAAAAAATTGGGTCAAATGTTTGACTTACCATTTATGGAAATGCTGTTGAAAATCTCAGTTTCGCATTAGTTTTAGGTTATCACGTGCTTAAGAAATTTTCTTTGAGAATTTAAAATCATAAGTTTTGGAAATGCAACTGTAAATCCATATCAAATTTGTTAAGGGAATACGATTTGAATTTTAATTTTGCATTAGATCTTTTCTTCACGTGAGTGAAAAAATTGTTTAGGAAATTTTAAATCATTTCTGGTCAACTGATCTTCAGCTAAAAAAATTGGTTCGTTTTATTAATTTGTAGTTAATAGCATAACAAAGAATATGTTTTGAAAATTTCAACATTTATATTTAAAAGTTTTGATTGGAAATAACAATGGTTGAGAGTTTGTATAACTAATCAATATTTTATTTTTGTGCAAAAAAAATTAGTAGTTTCATCAAATTTTAATTGGCCTGATATTTTATTTACTTGTGTTGCGTTACATAATTTATATATGTTACACAAGATATTGTCTATTATATGAATTTTATGTGCTTGATACCAACAAATAAAAATATGTTTTTTTATACAAGTTATATTTCCATAATTAATTAGTATTAATTTGATTAATATATGATAAATGTTGTTAGTTTATTGTTTTAATTAATAATGATATTAAGTTTGCAATATTTTTAAATACCCTTTAGTTTTATAAATTGGTTATAAATAATCTTGCAGTACTGTTATTTGGACCTTACATGTATAAGTATTATGAATTTTGATTTTCGCACTAGTTCAACTATTAGTAAACGACATATGACAAATTAAAGGAGACAACTGATGATCCTAATTATTTAAAGGACATTGCAATATTAGCACTGACGCTGGATGTTTAGTTTATCAATGAGTATATGACATAGTTGAATTTATCTGATTGTCATAGGTACTTAAGTTTCGATAGTACTTACAAACGGATTCTACTAACGATTTTCTGTTTGATATTCACATGCCTGAGTTCTTAGAAAGTATCAAATGCTCCACAATTTCAATCATCAGTTGCATAAGATTGGAACTCCCGTCATGTTATTGCATAACATGGATTATTCTACGGGTCTATGTAATGGGACACAATTGGTTGTGGCAAACTCTTCACTTATGTTCTCGAGTGTAAGATACTCACTAGAATTCACGCAAACAAGAACGTGTTGATTCCTAGAATGAATGTAACTCCTTCTGATGTCAGATTTGCTTTCAAGTTCCAGAAGTGACAGTTTCCCATTATAGACAAGAGTCTGGGACAATCGTTATTGCATATTAGTTTATTTCTTTGTTTGTTAAGAAGCCAGTGTTCAATCATGTGTAATTATACATTGTTGTTTCCAATGTCATCATCCCAAGTGGGTAGAAAATATTAGTTTGTCATAACGTTGAGTACAAGGAAATGTTCAATAATATATGATTTTTTAATTTGTGCCCGACCCATTTATGTTTGTTACATATATAACAAGTTCACATAATTTAATATTCAATATTAAAAAAAGTTTCAGTAAAATATCGTCTCGTGTCATCGTACGGGCCGCGACTTAGTTTTATAACTAATTATCTGCACTCATCTCCGCATTTTTTTTTCTTGATGTTAGGCTTCATTTTTTTCTTGATGTTAGGCCCTCCATGGCATTAGCTTAAGCTTTGTCCAATCCAATGAACTAGCGTGCAAAAATTTCATGCTAATAACTTCAAAAGAAAATGTAATCCATATTATAAAACATGAGATTTTATAACGTATATTAATCATATTTAGTACTTTCTACAAGAGATGTGATAGAAAATGATATAACATGCTGCAGCATTCATGAGGGAAGAGAAAGAGCAATATGCAGCCATTAATGCCATAGCAAGCTTAAGGAAAGATCTGTATTTGCAGCATGAAGAGTGTCATACAATGTGTGCCTATTTATACCACCTGAACCCTACAATCGAGATCATCTAAGCCACACATTACTTAGCTTAAGATCACAGCCATACACATGGCAAATAAAGTAAAGATAAAGCTGAAAAAGTAGCCATGCAGTACAAGATGAACAGCTGCCATGCATGCTGTTTTCTCACGTGCCATATTGATCAAGTTTAGCTGTATTAGCCTCAGTATTATGTATGCTAACAGGCCCCCTCAATCCAAACGAGGTGAGGCTCACCACTCCTAATGCATGCCTGAACCGAGTGAAGGATTGGTGTGACAATGGCTTAGTGAGAGCATCTGCTACTTGATCTGAGGATGGTATATGTTGAACTGCAAGGAGTCCTTTGCTAACTCTGTCTCTGATAAAGTGAATGTCAATTTCTATGTGCTTTGTTCTAGCATGAAGAACCGGATTGGTAGCTAAGGCTATAGCTCCTGAATTATCAACCCAAACAATTGGTTTGTGAGGGTCTTGAATACCTACTTCTTTGAGAAGAGATTGAATCCAGCTGATCTCTGCACTAGTGTGAGCAAGGCTTCTATATTCAGCCTCAGTACTGGATCTAGAAATGGCATTTTGTTTCTTTGAAGACCAAGCAACCAAATTCTTTCCTAGGAAGACACAAGAACCTGTGACTGACTTCCTATCATCTAGATCACATGCCCAATCAGAATCAGAAAAACCTGTTATCTTCAAGTCTCTACCTTTAACTAAATGCAGACCATAAGAAGAGGAACCACTGAGGTACCTCAATAT